TGTGTGTGTGTGTGTGCAGGTGCATGCACCATATGTGTGTCTGTGTGTGTGTGTGCAGGTACATGCACCATATGTGTGTTTGTGTGTGTGTGTGCGGGTACATGTATATGTATGTATGTATGTATGTGTATGAGTGCATGCACATGTATGAATCTCTGTGTCTGAGTGCACACTGTCTTGCACAAGTGTTTGCTTTTGTGTGCATCGTGTGCATGGAGCTGGGTGCCATCCTTGGTAATGCCACTTATCACAGGTGACTGTGACCCCAGGCATTGTCCCACAGGTTCTGAGGATTAACTTGGATCCTCATGCTCACAAGGCAAGCGCTGTGTGGACTGAGCCATCACTTCAGCCCCCGTCCCTTTCAAAAGAAAGGGACACGTTTGTTTTCTCGTATTTTCCAAATTTTCTACAGAGAGGATGTATTATTTGTATAGTTGAGTAAACAACACATCTGCAGCTGTTGTGATTGGCTCGTGTGTTGACTGTTTGGTTCCCAGCACAACAGTGCCCATTGCTGCTGTGTCTGGAAGTGGGGATTTGAGAAGGTGATTGGCTCATAAGCACACTATTGATGGATTCACAAGTCCATGGTATTACTGTGTGTGTGTGTGTGTGTGACTGAAACTTGTAGAGATCAGGCTAAGTGACAGGAAGTAGGTCACTGAGGGTATGCCCTGAGAGGAAAAAAAAAAGCATATTTTTTCTGCAGTGTTTTATGGTTTCCAGGCTACCGTGAGGTAAGAAACTCAGTCTCACCATGTCCTTCTCTCTCACCACATGTTGAAATAATGAAGCCTAGCCTAGCATGATGGCACACACCTTTAATCTCAGCACTCTGTAGGCAGAGGCAGGCAGATTTCCATGAGTTCCAAGGCAGACTGGTTTACAGAGAGAGTCCCAGGACAGTCAGAGCTACACAGAAAAACACTGTCTTGAAATCCAAGAAAAAAAGAAAGAAAGAAAGAAAGAAAGAAAGAAAGAAAGAAAGAAAGAAAGAAAGAAAGAAAGAGAGAGAAAGAAAGAAAGAAGGAAAGAAAGAAAGAAGCTAGTTGACCATAGACTGAAAACTTGAGCCAAAAAATGATCTTATTTATTTGATTTTCAGTGGGATTTTATTACGCAGCCCAGGCTAGCTTCAAACCCCTGATCTTCCAGCTCTCACTTCCCAAGTGCTGGGATTACAGCTGTGTGCCACCGTGCCCAACTCCCTGCCCTAACACTGTCACTGTCCATGTAAAACTGACTCGTAAAATAACCCTCTACTATCTCCTCCCCTGGACAACTGGTACCCTGCGAAACCTAGGGCACCAGTTAGCAGGTTGTCTGCAGGGTCACTGGGCAGCCCCTAGCTATGGACACCAGGTCTTTCAGGACAAGACCCAGCAACTTGCAGCAGGACATGGTTCATCCATAAATGGGGTCCCTCCTTAGCACCAGGTTGTTCCTGGGCTTCAGGGTGGCATGAAATGTCAGAGTAATACTGCCCCTGACCACCTAGTCCCTTAGCAGACCTTTATGCCCTCATCTGCTTTTCATTCCTGTGATAAAACACTGACCAAAGCCATCTTGGGGAGGAAAGGGTTTATTCAGCTTACAGTCCCTCATCAAGGGAAAACAGGGCAGGAACCAGAGCAGAAGCGGGGCGGAGTGAGATTTGGCTTACTGGCTTGCTCCCTGTGGCTTGCTTAGCTTGTTTTCTAGACAACTGGGACCACCTGCCCAGAAGTGGCACCCCACAGTGGGCTGGCCCTGTGACATCAGTCATTAATCACGAAAATGTCCCTCTTCCAGGTGACTCTAGTTTCTGTCAAGCTGACAAAGACTAACCAACACACTGTCTCTGCACAGCCATGTCTGGTCCTTAAGTTAGCTCATGCTTCTTCCAGATATCCCCTGGCTAACAGAATTTAGCATGTATTCATCTGGGGCACCAGGTCAGCCTGTCTGCATGTGAGAATGGCAACAGGCCGCCAGGAGTGCACTGCTCATAGGTTGGCCCAATCTGTTTCAGGACAAGCAAAGGACCTGCCCTTGATAGCTTGGACCAGGACCATGAGAAGGTCAGAAAGAAAGCGGGGTTTGGGAGAGATGCAGATAATCTGAAGCCAGTGGTTGGCTCTGTTGTACACACAGATGAAAACACAGCAAGCTTCCTTCAAAAGGGAGCATGGGCAAGCAAGCACACCTTTCATTTTGCAAGCAAGGAACCAAAGCCTCTTAGAAAGCCAGGATGATTTGTTTGTTGCCACATGGCGACATGGTGACAAAGGCTGAGATCAGATCCAGGTCCCCTGGATCCTCGGGATCCACCTGGCAACTTGATCAGGCCCAGATCTCAGTGCAGAATGGGAGTCAGGAAGGGTCAGGGTATGCAGAGCATCTCTTAACTATAGCACAAGGGCTGGAGAGAGACGGATAGAGTCTATGGAAGTTCAGAAGTTACCAGAATGACAGGTAGGTCCCAATGGGAACATGTATGAACTCGAGAGGAAGGAGAGATCCCCAGAGGAATAATGGCTGAGTCCTAGGTAACTGTGATGGTTCTGTGGGGAAGAATTTAAGGGTCTAGGGTCTGGAGGGACATACAGTATATGTCTGGTTCAATGTGGGTCTTTTAAATATATGGATCTGTGCTACGTGGTGGATGCCTTCAGAAGCCAAGAGAAAGTGTCAGACGGCCTAGAGCTAGAGTGACAGGTAGTTGTAAGCTGTCATGAGGGTGCAGATACCTGAACTCAGGTCCTCTGGAAAAGGAGCAAGCATTCTTAACTGCTGAGCCAGCTTTTCAGGCCTTCAGTGTGAGTCTTTGGCAATTGGGGTTCAATCCTCTTTCTCTTGCTGTTTCCCTCAGCACTCAAATATGTGGGCAGGGCAGAAATCACTTCCTAAATTCATCTCAGTAGCTCCCCAGACTGTCTGAGGCCTTCTGGCCCTGTGGGTAAGGCTCCTTCCAGAGAGGAGGGGTCTGTCTCTTGCTGACACCCTGGCTCCTCACTCTCAGCCAGAGGTTCATTCCTGCTGTTCCTGGGGCCTACCTCACACAGGGTACTGCCTGTGGTCAACCTGATGTGATTATGGGAGCTATGACAGGGTTGGTGGCGATGGCAGCACTGTGTTCCAAGGCCCAGGGCTTGCCGGAAGGTCTCTTGGAAGCGACTGGACATGAGGCTGTAGAGCACCGGGTTGGCTGCCAAGCCGAGGTACAAGAAGATACCAGAGGCAATGTGGAGAAACTGGTAAGCCTGGCGCAGGCCGTCCGTCCAGTGGGGTTCCACCAAGCTCCACATGACACGCTCAGCATGGAATGGAGCCCAGCAGATGCCGAACACCACAACCAGTGCAACTGCAAGAACAGAGAAGAGAGGCCTGATTTGATCGGTGTCAGGTTTAGAGTTTGCATCTCCAGACTAGCCTCCCATCCTAGAAAAGCAGGCAGGAGAGCCAGGCAGTGGGGGGGTGCATGCCTTTAATCCCAGCACTTTGGATCTCTGAGTTCAAGGTCAGCCTGGTCTACATAGCAAGTTCCAGGACAGCCACAGCTACACAGAGAAACCCCATCTCAAAAGACAAAAACAAAGAAAAACCAGCAAACAAACAAAACCTTTGGAAGCTCAATTCCTTCCTCAGACCGGAGGAAGATCAACAAAGACACTTACTCAGCATCTTGATCACCTGTCCCTGTCCCCTATCTCGAAGCTGAATCCTTCTGTGGGAGGTCTTCCGGGCTGCTGTAACATCATCCTCTTGGAGTAACATCCTCTCCCTCCGCAGCCGCAGCCCAATGAGCAGGTACAGCACACTGATGGTTACCATGGGCAGACAGAAGAAGAGCAGTGCGGTGGTCTGTACCACCAACTTGTACAAGTCCGGGTCACTTACCAGCATACACCTAACCGAGCCGGACACCAGCCCCCGGCAGGGCACATATAGCTGCTTGAGGCCATGTAGGCTGGTGTTGGGCAGAGAGAAGAGAATAGCGAGGACCCAGATGGCCCCCAACATGCGGCGCACATGGGCCCGTGTCATCACAGACTTGGCTTGGAGTGGGCGCACCACGGCCACATAACGCTCTACACTCAGGGCTGTGACATTGAGCACCGAAGCTAGGCAGACCGTCTCAAACAGCAGTATTCGGAAGTGGCAGGCACTTGCATCCAGCTGGAACGGGTAATTGTGCTGCATCTCATAAAGCTCCAGGGGCAAGCCCACCAGGAGCACCAGCAAATCAGACACAGCAAGGCTGAAGAGGTAGAAGTTGGTGGGCGTGTGCATAGCCTTGTGGCGCAGGATGACGGTGCAGGTCAGCCCGTTGCCCAGAGTGCCCACCACGAAGATCAACAGGTACGTAACACAGATGGGCCAAAACTCTTCTAACTGCTGTGGCCCCAAGTACTTCAGCTTCAGGGCCTTGTCAGTAAGGTTCAGGTCGTCAGGGTCCTTGAGCTCACTGACATTGCAGAATATGGGGGTCCTTGAAGCATTTGGGGAGAGTGCTCCGGCAAAGTTGGAACAATTGAGGCAGGGAGGAGTCTGTAGAATAGAGGGGGGGGGATGCCCAGTCATTTAGGTAATCTCAGCTCTGTCCTAAGTTATCACACAGGAGGTACCACACTGTAGAGGGCTAACAGTCACATCCCACTGAGAAAGAAACGCATCTACCACCCACCGTAAAGTGCATTTCAACTGCAGAGTACTCGAAGTGCAAACTTTACAAGTAATAAAATTGGGCGGGCAGTGTGGGTGCACAACTTTACTCCCAGCACTCGGGAAGCAGAGGCAGGCACGTGTCTGGGAGTTTGAGGCTAGCCTAGTTTACAGAGAAAGTTCCAGGACAGCTAGGACTACAGAGAGAGAGATAGACACTGTCTGAAAAACAAACAAAAACCAAACAACAACAAAAAGAGTTATCCTCTAACTTCTACACACATTTGAACAGTATATATGCACAAGTACACAAACACACACACACGCACGCACACACACACATGCACACACGCAATCATTTTTAAATGATAAAATGGGCCCTTTACTGGATCTACTAAAACCTTTAAATAAATGACAAGCTTTTCTCGGGTGTCTCCCTTTCAAGATGGACTTCAGGAGAGTCACTTAATGTGGACATCAGAAAAGCGGGTGCTCCTGCAGTATTGCTAGGTCTTTAGGGCTCCTAAGCAACTGCCAGGACAGACCTGACCTCCCCAACTCCAAGTGGAAGGTCCAGGTATTTAATCCGTAAAAAGGCACTGACACAGGGCATACAGAAAGCTGTGTGTGACCTTGCTGTGAAGAGAAAGCCACCGTAGGGGTTAAGTGAAGGAGTGAAAAAACTAAAAACTGTACTTTGACCCAAATTTGGTTCTGTTTTCTGTCACCTGAATCATTCCCAGTCTAAATATTTTATATTCTTTGCACCTACTAGACCTAGGGTTCTCACTACTTGGAACTCTCACGGAGGGGAGCTGGGAATGGGCAGGTGACAGCCTAGGTTCAAGAGAGGTGTCCCGGGCCTAGAGGAAGGGTCAGCAGCCAGTAGTGCCGAGACGTCATCAGAAAAATGACTGAAAATAAACTGACTGGCTAAGAGATCTCTCCCACAACCTCCAAGTGCCCCCACAGAGTTTTTTCACCCATATCACCCTGAGAGATGCACCTGTTAGGACCCGCATCCCGATCACCTACCATGCCTTCTGCCCGGGAGGTCCTGACTGAGCTCTGGCTCCCACCGACAGATGCGACTTGACAGCGGCTGCCCTCCCCGCCTTCCTGGTTGCTCCGCCTGTTGTTCACAAAATGGCCACTAGGGGGCAGTGCTGACCCCCCGGGGCTTGGAGTACTTAGGACTCACCAGGGACCCTATGTGCATCCAAACCATTCTAGCTAGCTGTTCGACTCACCCGGAGCTGAGAGTGCCTTCTTTTTCTGGACAACAATCCCATTTTACAGGTGAGAAAAAAAATGAGCCTGAGAGAGGAAGTCTGGTGAGACTTGGGTCTAAAATGCTGTCCCCACCAACCTGCAGCGTGCTGACTTGAGCACAACTCGTTCCATGTCCTGCAATTTTTTCTGACCCACATGTTCAGACACACCTTCTCATCTGCACCCCTTAAGCCCCTGAAAGTCAGCAGTCCAGAGAGTCTCATCCCTGTGACTCTGCTTGTACACTCACAGGATAGCAACCCCATAAACACAGTCTCATTAGGTGTTTTCAGCTCCCGTGTCCACGCACTATTCTCCTCCGAGGAAATCACCCTCTCTCCTGCCAGCACCTCCTCCCACATCGGTCCTTTTCCTGAGCATTGTCAGGATCCACTTCTTCACTCAAAAGAGCACACAAAAGTTTAGTCAGGGGTCATAGCACACACTCACCGTCTGCATTTCTGTCTTCGATGTTCCCTCAGTTTCTCAGCACCCCTTCACCCGTGACAATATCTCCTTTACCCCAACCCCCTCAATGCCTGGCTTCTTAAGAACTTCATTTATAAACAAATAGCCCTAGCTTAAGAGATTGTGTGGAACTCTGGGCGCTTGTTCTTCAGAGCCCTTGGGAGAAAGAATTTTGAAAGCTTCCTACTCAGCTGCAGATGGACCAACTAGGACTAGCTTGGTCATGACAAAGCTCAGTGTCACTCGAAAACCAGCTCACCATGGCTTCACAGTGTGCAAGGAGCACTTTTTAACTGTGTTCCCATCTCTAGATCACACACACACACACTCCACACTGCACACTGCACACTGCACACGCCCCCTGTGGGCCTTTTGAAAATGTTCAAACCCCATAAAGGATGAAGAATGACATGAGGACAGATGGCTCACACCAATCACCGTCCCTAGCGCTGGCTGTGTCATTTGCTCAGCATCTACAACCATCACGCTAAAGGACAGCCCTGCAGAGGACCCTGAGTCCTCACAGATGTAGCTTCTATTCATGCTCTGTCCAGAGTGTCCTGGTCAGGATCAGAGCCTGAGAACACATGGCAGGCTGTTCCATCAGAACAAGTAGCACCTGCCCCTGCCTGCTCTGTCCAGAGGCAGCCTCTCTGGATTTTGTGGATGTGTATATCCATTCCTGAGCTTGGTGGTCGGTGGCCATGAGCCTAGATCAGGGTCCAAATCTACAGGACAGCACTATGTCAAGTCCTGGTTCATGGGCAAGGCTCCTGGGGCTGACGTAAGTGCATAGCTCATAGCCCTCCATCCTTTCCTGAGAACCAAGGGGCCAGCTCTTCCTCAGCTCAGGTCCAAAGTAAGACCCAACTCCTCAGGCTGACCTCCTGTCCTGCTCCTAACTACTTATGAGGATAAAAGAAGGCAGGTAAGCCTGGTGGTGTTGGCACATACCTTTAGCCCCAGAACTCAGGAGGCAGAGGCAGGCAGATCTTTAGATTTGAGGCCAGCCTGGTCTACATAGTGAGTTCCAAGATAGCCAGGGCTACACAGAGAACCATATCTTGAAAAATGGGTAGGGGAGAGGGAAGAGGGAATGGGATGAGACACATGACTAAACAAATGAACAAAACAAAACTTGCACCACTCTAGAGCTGGAGGAACAGGAAGTGTGACCTTTCTTTCTCTTGAAGTGGAAGGACATTTGACATTCTCATGCTGGGGCAAGCAGAAAATGCCAGGAACTCTGTGATCCTGGGACTGTATCTCATGGCACTCTGGACCTGAAGCCAGCTCAAAAAAGCTACCCACAAGGCTCTCCTGGCACCCACTTATCCAGGGCAACATGGCTGACCCTTGAGTCTAAGTTTTTTCAAGCAGCAGACCTCAGGCATATGTACCCTGGAAGCCCCTTTTGATATCTTCCCATACGTGAGTGCTCAATGTTACAATCCAGGTCAGATTTTGAAATAAAATCCCACCCCTACTTCCCTACTCTCACCTCTCCCTCCCTCCTTTCCCCCTCCCCCTCCCCCTCTACTCTCACCTCTACCTCTCTATCCACTCCACCACCACCCCCCACCTCCCCAACCCCGCCCCAGACCAGGCCTTAGATCTTGTTTGTCCACAGGGGTTTTCTGTGTCTGTTTTAGTGCTTCATTTTCTCTTTTAATTTTTTATATTATGCCCAGATAAAAATCACATCCTAGCTTTGAACTCTTGTCAGGAGAGGTACATGGAGCTGGGGCTTTTGGCCTTCTCTAGTGGAAGAAAACAGTTGTCCTACCAAATAGGATCCTATCTCCAGATATCAGATAGCCCAGAGCCAAACAGCCATGAAAAACTATAGATGTCATTGCTTCCCAGGGCCTTCAAGGTGTCATCAAAGATACCCAGGTCAGAGGAAGTGGTGGATAGCTATGGTGGCATCACGGATCCAATAGGTATGTTGTCTGTTTGTTTGTTTGTTTGGTGTGTGTGTGTGTGTGTGTGTGTGGCTGAGTTGTGGGAGGAGGGGGCTCTTCCTAACATGTTTACGAGGTGGATGAGACCATTTTTCAAAAAGGCTCAGGAGAAGCCCAGGAAAGCACACACCTTCAAGGAAGAGAGGACATTTCTTCTCAGATGTTCAGACTCAGAAGGAACCATTCATGAAGTCACACCTCAGCCACACCTGAGAACCAGGACGGTGAACTCTTTCCTGGTCCATTCGGACCCACCACAGTCACAATAGCAGCCTTGTTTACGTATCAATGGCAGTTCCTCACTCCTCCTAGCTACCCTGAAGACAAAGTGTGTGTAGACCGGTTTCATGTGGCGATGGTGATGGTGGTGGCGAGGTCGGTTTGGTTTTGAGACGAGGATCTCAGGTAATCCCGGCTGACCTCCAACTTATTATGTATGCTACCGTGTCCAGTTTGTGTGGTGTTGGGGCTCAACCCAAGGTACCATGCATGTTAAGCAAGCACTCCATCTACTAAGTTACACACCCAGCCAAATGCAAGTCCGCAGTTGTAGCACTCAGAAGAACCATGGAGATCTCCCTGCCAACCTTAACACTAAGGGCTGACGACGGGATTTGGATTTAATGTTTCTTTTCTTTTTTTTTTTTAAGATTTATTTATTTATTATATATGAATACACTGTAGCTGTCTTCAGACACACCAGAAGAGGGCATCAGATCCCATTACAGATGGTTGTGAGCCACCATGTGGTTGCTGGGATTTGAACTCAGGACCTCTGGAAGTACAGTCAGTGCTCTTAACCACTGAGCCATCTCTCCAGCCCTAATGTTTATTTTCTAAATCCACTCTTCAAGTCTGACTCTAACCTTCGTTTCTAAAGTGTCATTTTATTTTCTTTCTGTTGTTGTTTTAGTTTTGAATAGGGTCTCTCTATGTAGCCCTGCTTGTCCTAGAACTATCTATGTAGGCCAGGCTAGCTTCAAACTTGCAGAGATAAAACTGCCTCTGTCTCCCTAGTGCTTGGATTAAAGACTTTTATCACCACACTTGGCAGGAAGGGACTTTTAATATCTAAAAATATGTTTAAAATGTATCTATTTTATTTGTATGAGTGCTTTGCCTTCATATGTGTATGACCCTAATATCCACAGAGGCCAGAAAAGGGCATCACAGCCCTAAACTGTACTTATATAGATGTTTCTGAGTCACTCCGTAACTGCTGACGATATAGCCAGATTCTCCGCAACAGTTCCAAGTGCTCTGACTGCTGAGCCCTCTCCAGCCCCCATCTTTTCTTTCCTTTCCTTCTTTCCTTTCTTTTCTCCACTTTTTAACGGCAGGAACTAAGCACGGGGCCTTGCATTCACTAGAAAGCACTCTACCACCGACCTAGATCCAAGCCTTTTCAGTGTCTCTGTGTAGCCCAAGCTGGCCTTGAACTTACGATCTTACTGTCTCTCTGTCTCCCAAAAGCTAGAGCTATAAGCATAAGCAAACTTGCCTGTCAAATTGTGTGAGAGCCCAGCCTTTTAAAAAAAAAAAAAAAAATCGAGGCCAGCCTGGTCTACAGAGGGAGTTCCAGGACAGTCAGAGAAACCCTGTCTCAAAAACAACAACAACAACAACAACAACAAC